TGATCTAATGGTGTGCCAGTGTGTCATCGTCATTGATCTAATGGTGTGCCAGTGTGTCATCGTCATTGATCTAATGGTGTGCCAGTGTGTCATCGTCATTGATCTAATGGTGTCATCCTTTGCTGTTGTTCTCCGACTGTAGCTTCGAGGAAATCCACACAAGAATGTTCTCTGTACTGCCTGGATGAATCAAGCCCTGCATTCCAAACTATACTTACACAGCACTCGAATCAAACGATAGTCCATAATTTTATGATACTTGGCCTATTATATGACATTTTTATCCTGCATTTTTTGTTTTCCATTCGTAAATCCCACTACCATTTTGTGTGTGTCCCAGTGGTGAAGAAAGAGATTTATTTATTTGTTCAGACTTTTCCGTGAGATCGTCTGATGGTACCAACTCTGAACTTTGAGTTATGTGGACGTTGTACTCGGTTCGTATGTAATGTTGTATCGTTAAGTTTAGGTCTGTGTCAATTTTAGCGTTTGAATTTTCCTTTCCACCGAGTTATGGCGTTGATCAAGTATGTCGTCAGTGCATTTTGCTGTCCACGTACGGAGTATTCAGATGCTTTCAAGAAAATTAAATGTGGAAAAAAACATGTTTTTTTTCTACTCATGCCCCCGTCTCACGTGGATCTCCACGTTTCTTATACTTTTTTTCTAGTAGTTTTTTGCATGCTGAACAGGAATATGGCCTTCATTTTTGCCGCAAATCAAAGTTATTGAATTATTGATGTTTGAAAACGGAAATATATTACAATAGGATAAATGGCATAGAATATTTTACTTGTTTTTAACAACATTGGGGGGGGGGGGCATGCCCCCATGAGCTAAAGAGAATCTGAGGGTGTTTCAGGGGGGGGGGGGGCATTCCCCCCCTGCATTTCACAATGATTTGATGTTTTGGCAATTAGGATTGATATTTACTTGAAAACAATTGGTTTGCAAGGGTTCTAGTGGCCATGCGTGTGTTGTGCTGCTAAAGTTATGGCAGTTTAGCCCTCTAATCAATGCATCTGTGTGTGGGTGAATAAGTAAATATTTACCAAAAAACGTTTTTATGTCTATTACTATTGCGTGTTCTAGCCTCTTGATTTTTACAGTTCATGTTTAGTTTGTCAGGAATTATTCATGCAAATTAGAATGTGAGAGCTGGTTTTAACGATTGTGCTCAGGTCAAAATGTCTTAAGAGTTTTCAAATTTTGTTCCGTACATGGATAGCGAACTGCGATGACGATGTTTTTTTGCTCCGATGTTTCCTTGTCCTCAACCGATCAGTTTGAGTGGGGGGAGAGAGAGAGAGAGAGAGAGAGAGAGAGAGAGAGAGAGAGAGAGAGAGAGAAAGAGAGAGAGAGGAGAGAGAGAGAGAGAGAGAGAGAGAGAGAGAGAGAGAGAGAGAGAGAGAGAGAGGAGAGAGAGAGAGAGAGAGAGAGAGAGAGAGAGAGAGAGGCTCGTTTCAGCTGACCAAACTATTAATCGGGAAAGCAGAATATGTGGAATGATGTACTAAGGAAATTTTATGGGGTCTGTATATTCAGCTTTTCTGAAACTTTTATTGAGTTCGGGGGTTACAAAATAATGGCTGGCTCAAAAACAACATAAACAGTGGATGGAAGAACAGGAATTTGCATAGCTTATTTATTTTCTTTTTTAGAATGGATTGGTGAGCGTGCAGACAAAATGTGTTGTGTGACTTCCCGGGTTTTGGACCTCTTGACAAATGAACGTCAAATTTATAGATTGAGATTGTACGAAATGTTCGTCAGAAATGGTGATAAACATGATGAAAATGGCATTAGTTAAAAATTAAAAAATGTGACCTTTGTATTTATATTTGGCCGACATTTGTGATGCATCGTGGTGAAATCAGGCGCTGGTCAAAATAATGAAATCAAAGATGTCGGCATTGTTTTGGGCCGATTGGCTATTTTTTCGTACATGTTTTTTTATTTTTGTTCAATGCCTTTTAGGTCCATTTAAGCACACATTTTTTGTGGATTTTACAGAAAAACATTGATTAAAGGCACAAAAAATGCAAATGTTGAGTTTCCAAGGACTCTCAGGTTATGGAAGTAACCAAACTTTGGCGGCTATTTTCTCGCTGATTTTACCTCTTTAACCAGGTGACCCTGACCTCCTTCAGTGGCAAATATTTCGACTACTGTTCAACATAGATGGACATTTTTGTTCACCAAAAGGAAGACAAAAGAACAGGCTTGAAGATGATACCAATAACTCAATGTGCCCCAAAATTGACGAGCGCTTGATTCCACCGCGTCGTGACACATTTCCTTTCACAAGTTGTTCATTTTGTCAGCTGGTCGCACGATGAGTTTCTCCAGCCGTTCTGTTGTTAGGACCCTTCCAACTTACCTAGTGGGTGGGTGGCGGGTGCTCCTTCTTTCCTATCAAACATCTATCATCCTTTTCTCCTCTCCTTTTTTTATGTTTGTTACTCTCTTGTAACACCTCTAATCTTCTGGCGCTCATATGACCTTATGCTGTTGCGAGAGCCGTAAAACCTCTACTAAAACTAAAACTAACTTAGCTAGTTCTTGTCTGACAAGGTGGTTTTTTTTGTCCTACATGGTTTTTACGCATCAGGTCACAGACTATTCTAAGTCTGTGCTTGGACATGCATTTATTCTATTATGGTCGCTGTGAAGGACAAGCATTTATTCTATTATGGTCGCTGTGAAGGACAAGCGGGCTGACCCAGATTTCCTGGGTTTTTCTCTCCTCCTTCTTTTTTGTGTTTGTCACTCTCTTGGAACACCTCTAATCTTCGGCACTTCTATGACCTTATTGTTTTGCAAGTGCCGTAAAACTCTGACTAAAATAAAACCCCACACACAGGGTTCCTGAAACATAGATAAAAGAGGCATTTAGCAATTCCACAGTTTTCTGAGAATTGCTTCGTCATCGGGATAACGACTTTTACAGAACGCCTTTGCGTATGTCCCAGCGGGGAAAGATGGCTTGCTCCTTGTGAGAAGTCTGGTATGTTTTATCCCAGTGTGTAAAATCTGAGTGGCATAATGAGAATTCATTTATAAATATTGATATTGATATATATATATATATATATATATATATATATATATATATATATAGGTTTCACAGTTTGTTGACCTGGATGTGTGTTTTTGTGTTTATGCTTGTGTGTGTGCATTTGTGTGTACATGATTGTGTATGCATTTGTATGTATGGTTGTGTGTTCGTTAGTGTGTATGGATGTGTGTATGGTTGTGTGTTCATTAGTGTGTATGGATGTGTGTATGGTTGTGTGAAGTGTATGGTTATGTTATTCTTCGGCACTTATTATGACCTTATTGTGTTGCAAGTACAGTAAAACTCTTACTAGAACTAAACTAAACGTAGCAAAAACTATGAATGATGAAACGTGGAACAGAAATGAAGTTTTGATTACTCGACAAGTCTGGAAAACGGACATCCTCTCGGTCCCCACTTTGTGACGACATTGAGCGTTTGTTCCTTTCACTCCTTGCTTTGTACCAATTCGTTTGATCTTTTTGTTTCATAACTTCTTGTTCCTTGTGGGATTTTTTTGTTCGTTCATTTTGTCGTTTTGTCACTGTTGCTGGACATTCCCAGCTTCCTCCAATGTGATTTTTATGAGACATCCATTAATTGTGCACCTGGCATGGACACAGGTGTGTAGAAGAAATGGTTGCTTTTAAGGACAAGCGGGCTTATTTTCGGGGGTTTCCAGAAATCTTGACCTACCCCAAAAGTGGGAATTACCCTACCTATAGGAGAAGTTTAGTTTCATTGGTGTGTCTGTACATGTATTTGTTTGGTTATAGAGAAAACTCTCCTTGTCTTTTATAGAAACTGAACAAGGGGCCAAAACTTTACCTTCGATTTTCTCAAAACGGCATTTTTTTAGGGATAGCCCCCTTGTGCTTAAAAGCGACCAAATATCTTTGCCCGTGTGATGAGACTGGCTAAACCCAGAGGAGAAAATTATGCAGGAGAAGCACAAAAAAAACCCAACTATAGTTTCATAACGCAGCAACCTGGCAGCTAACGATTGTCCGGTGTTATTTCTAACTTTTCAGGAGCGCTGCTGGTCAACATTCAGACCTTTCTTTTATCTTGGTGGCGCTCGTATGACCTGATGCAGTTGCGAGCGCCGTAAAACTTTCCTAAAACTAAACTGTCTTTTATCGAGGATACGGAATGGATCATTTATTATCTATTCGTCAGAGAAAAAAAAAGTCAAAATTTGACATTTCATGGGTTAGCCAGTCTAATCACCAGGGAAGTAATATATATATATATAAATATATATATATATATATATATATATATATATATATGGATGATATGTGCCTTTGCTGTTTTATTGAAGAAGCGGTCTAAATGCTATGCGGAGTTGACTGGTTCTTCTCAACTGCCCCCATCCCCCCCAACCCCATCCCAAATGTCCTGTTTGAGAGCTCTACTCAGTGGTGTTTTGTTGTCTTGTGGCATTTATCGGAAAGAGCCGCTGGTTTGTTGTGGAATCCATCATGTATTGTTCTATTCCCATGTCATGTTACAAGATTTTTGGTCATTCCATCATTAAAGTATGATAGTGGCATGGCATTACACTCGAGTTGGCTTGTTTTGTTTTTTTCTAGTTTTGTTGTCTTGTTCTGTATCAGCTTTTATTTATTATTTTTGTGCGTGGTTGGCGGGTGCTCTGGTGTGGTTTGCTCCTTCTTTCCTATCAAACATCTATTGTCTTTATCTCTCCTCCTTTTTTATGTTTGTTACTCTCTTGTAACACCTCTAATCTTCGGCACTTATATATGACCTTATTGTGTTGCAAGTGCCTTAAAAAAAGGATGTCCTTCATATCCAGGCTAGTGCTACTGACTGAAATGTCTTTAGGCCATTCCAAAAGGAGGGATATTAACATGTTCTTATGCACAGTAGAGAGTTTTCTAAGAATTAAGTGGCAGGATAGAATAAGAAATGAAGAGCTGTGGGAAAGGACAGGACAAAAGGATATAGAAGTAGAAATAGGACTAAGAAAGTGGCGATGGATGGTACTCACCTTCAGAAAGCCCAGCGGAAACGTCACAAGACAGTCACTGCAGTGGAACCCACAGGGAGCACGAGGCAGGGGTAGGCCACGGGAAACATGGAGGAGATGTGTGGAAAGGGACATGAGAGAGATGAAGCTCACTTGGAACGAGCTTGGAAGGATGGCCC